CTATATATATCGTCTGACTGATGTTCAAATGTGCTAGGCCCAAAATTTTGGAACTTTTGTTTATGAATTGGAGTTCCTCAATCTGTTGTACACGTGAATTCTATCAGTTGCTTGAGCTAAAAAAATTTGTTTGTTGAAATTCAAATTCTAAATAAGTAAAAAAAAAAAAATTTTTTAAAGCAGACGAGGAAAAAACACTCTTTTCTTTTCTCTCTCTCTCTCTCTCTCTCTCTCTCTCTGTTAAATTTTTCTTTCTGGGCTTAGTACATTTTAACAGCTCGTTGATGACAGCTTGTGTATACAGTAGCCAAGATTGGCCTACATGGTACCCGTATTTGAACCTGAGATCAAACTACATATATATTAATATTACACAGTATTACATCATCACGTTCATTCGATAATTGCCTAAGTCATTTTTGACGCAAATTGAGCTTTGGCCACATCTGGATAATTTCATTAATTCCCCTGTGGAGAATTTATCATTTAAATCAAACCAAAAAGATATTTTTTTTAAACTGTGATGTGTCTGTTGTGCAACCATTTTTGTTGTTTTTCTCAAAACGTCACAAAATGACTTAGGCAATTATCAAATGAGTGTGACAATATATGTATAATAAAATTGCAATGACTAAGGACAGTTTCAATAATAAAAATGAGCCCAGTCCTGAAAAAATAGAAACATCTTAATAACTACCAAAATACATGTAGAAGTTTACAAGGCAATGTGTGATCAACCCTACCATACATAATACAGTACAACACAGCTCGATTTCGTCAGGACCAGCCTCAGTAGTTCGAGAGATATCTTACAAAGATAAAGAAGAGAAAAAAATGAGACTGCAGGCCGTTGGATGGACATATTATGATTTCGAGTCTTCTGTGTTTGACCTATCCGTGCTCTACTGTACCGGTATATATATGGCTGTGAATTCTGGACAACTACTAAAGACAGTAAAATTTAAATGAAATACATGTGCAAGCAACAGAAATGTGGTTTCTCAAAAGACTGTTTTGAGAATTTCTTGGAAAGAAAATAAATCAAATGAAGCAGTGGGCCGCTCAATTTGATCAAAACAACAGTATTAGGAAGAGACATATGCAGTTTTTGGGACACTTGAACAGAGACATAAAGGCCAAGAACATCTAGCTCCCACAGGCCAAGTTGAAGGCAAACGAGGCAAGGAATAGACTCAGAACAAGACGTATAATAATTTTTTAAAGTATACGCTAAGTTCTGACAGTAGCAGTGAATTGCAGACATACTATGATTCATTACTCAGTATGAGATATAAAAAGATCTCCCACATTTTGAATGAATACAATAAAAGAAAAAAGAATGAACACAACTTTTCATGAACAAAGTAGATATTATGTTTCTGAAAACTACATTTTATAAACAAACAGTATTAATGCATGTACTGTGTTTTAAAAACTATACATTAGTGCACTTGTATATCAGGCACATGGCCACCATTGCTGAACAGCTCAAACAACAAAGCTACAATGTTCACTGATCCAATTCATGATGTGTTCTAAAAAAGGAAGAAATAATGATGGGGATAACCAAAAAGAAAGAATTTTTGGTTGCTTTTGTTCTTTGGTGTATGTATGAATATATATATATATATATATTATGTATGAATATATATATATATATATATATTATATGAAGAGCACAGGGGAAAAACGGCTGGAGTCACAAACTGGAAATTGTGAGTGTGCCAATTTTAAAACTTGTGGACTCAAAACTTTATATTTGTTCGACTGGTGGTTTTTAAGTGTTGTGGGATGGGAAATCTAACAACAATAATCAACCAACAGTTGATCAGAAATACAGTTATACATGAGTAAACAAGCGTTCAAAATTTAAATGTAGCCTGAAGTGTTTTTACGCCCCCATCAACTATCAACACAATTTAGATCATTTCATTTAGGATAGCCAGCTCCGACCCTGCCTGTCAAAGGCCAACTCGGGCTGAGAGTGAGAGGGAGGGATACAATGTCCCAGGAGAAAATCCGAGATTCTCAGGAATCACAATCGCTAATCACACAGATTTTTCAATTCAATGTTCCTTTTATCTGAAACTTAAAATCACAAACTACAACACACAAGATACCATGAACTATGCACATTCCAGTTTCTAATCATGTGTGTAACAGTAAAGTTGGAAATATGCCACAACATGGTCTTTGGCCTCCTGTCGGATAACATACGTGTGTTTGTATGTTTGTGAGTGTGTGTTTTGTGAGTATGTGTGTTGTTTGTGTGTGTATGGGGGGGGGGGGTGGAGTGTGTGGGTGGAGATGTGGAGAAGGGGGGTGAGTGTGGGGGTGGGAGGTGTGTGGGGGTGGGAGGTGTGTGAGTGTAGGTGTTTTTGTTTTGGGGGGGGGCTGTGTGTGTATGTGTGTCCGTCCGCTTAGTTAGTGTCCTACCTACGTGGACATTAACTAATTCTGTGTGGATGGTTGGTGGGTGCTTAAGTGTGGTTTGCTCCTTCTCTCCTATCAAGGATCTTTTTGGGCTTTTTTTTGTCCGGTATTTACTATTGCATGTATTACTCTCTGGTAACATCTACCTCTAATCATCGGTAGTGCAATATAATATTACCTAATTTGTGTTGCAAACATGTCGCTCCCTAGAATTACAAAGTTCTATCTGACATCTTTGGCCGTTTTGAGTTACCGGGTACTACTACTAACTTACTACTAAGACCAGGAGGTCCGAAACCCAAAGTTCTAGCTGCTCTATCAAAATCGTAAGATTGTTTGGATTCGTAATCTAGATATTCAGAGAATTGCCTTCGAAAAAGCTTGTCATGTTGTGAAACTCAAAATTTTTATGTCAATCTTCTCAAAACTAGGTGGGCTTACTGCGCGGATAGAGTTTTGTTATTGAAGAGTGGTTTTCCAAAACTCTCTAAGTCAGTTTTGACGAGCGCCTCATTTTCATCACGATGCTTAACACATATATTTGTATTATGTATGTACATGTGTTTAGCATTGTGGTGAAATCAGGCGCTCGTCAAAACTGACTTACGACAGAGTACTGGAAAATCACTCTTCAATTCTAGTTTAGTGAAGTGCTGTAAAACTCTGACCAAAACAAAAATCTTACCACAGCTAGTTCACCCACGGGGCCCCGGCCATGTTGTTTATAACTCCTGAATGTGGATGAAGTAGATGTTGCTGCTGTTGATGTTGTTGTTGCTGCTGATGTTGTTGCTGCTGTTGATGTTGTTGTTGCTGCTGATGTTGTTGCTGCTGCTGCTGCTGCTGCTGCTGGTGTTGAGGTGGAATAGTTTGTTGTTGCCCCGGAGCCTGATCCAGAAAACTGGCGGGGGTCTGACTGGACGCGGAGAAAACGGCGACGTTGACAGCTGCTACCGTTGCTGTTGGCCGGCTGGAGATATTATTTTGTTGTTGCTGAGTCCCGGTGGGGGTGCTGCTGCTATTGCTGCTGCTGCTACCGCTACTGCCTGCTGCTGCCGCAGCACAAGTAAACTGCACGACTTCCCCATTCTTGAGGTGGTCCGGGTGGAGGTCCACGTTGGGAGGGACGAAGTCGTTGGACCACAGCTCGTCCCACACCGTCCAGGGGGCGGGGTTTGCTGAGTTGGGGGATGGAATGTGGGTGGGGCTTACCAGGTGATTGGCAGGGTGAGGCAGACGCCCCGGAGATCTGGCTGTGAAAGGGAAATCAAGATGCAATAAGTAATAAGATTAGAATAAACAGATAAAGGATCGGAATGGTTGTAAACAATTTACTCCTTGATCGATACCTTTTGGGTCATAGAATATGTGGCGGGCTGCTTCCTTCAACACACACATAGACTAATACATGTTATAGGCTACTAATACCAATAGAAAGGGGCATTAAACCTATACAACACCGGTAACTAATAGATAGGAACGTCAGACTACATGATACAGAATCGTTTGCTTTAGTAAGTGTTTTACAGAACTTGCAACACAATAAGGACATATAATTATTATAAGTACCGAAGATTAGAGGTGTGACAAGAGAGTAACAACAAACGCAAAATAGAAGGCGGAGAGATAAGGACGATAGATGTTTGAAGGAAAGAAGGAGCAAACCACACCAGAGCACCCGCCAACCACCCACATATATTGAATCTAACAATCAATAGAAAGGGGGTAGTGGTAGAATCTAAAACTATCCTGTGACCAATAGAAACGGTTATTGTTCAACCACCACAATGACAAATAACCAGAAAGAGTAAGAGAGAGCTCACCTTTATTGACAATGGGCAGCGGATAACCGCCAGGGGGCGGGTGTACCCGGTTCATGACGTCACTGTCGTCCATGGAATCACAGTGACCTTGACCTCCTCCTCCTACTTTCCGCTTGTCGCGACTCCGCTGGTGCCTGAACCAGGTGCGGATGGTGGAGGGTTCGTTCCCCAGCTCTGAGGCGATCTTCTCAATGACCTGTCTGGAGGGCCGGGCGTTCTGTAAGTAGTAAGTCTTCAGCACTTTGCTCTTCTCTTCCTTAGACTTGGGCGCTGGGCCGTCCGGGTTTTCGTTTTCATCTGCGGAGTCGAGGACAAAGATTAGAAAAGAAGAAAGGAAGGTCATGATTATGAAAGAATTAGTATCAAGCAGTAGGCCTACTTCTGACAGGAATCTTTCTCATTTTGATATTTTTTCGCCCTTATCTGAGAAGGCTAGATCTAGGTGTAAGATTTTATACACGTACCATAAGATCAGGGATTTGGCTGAAAGACAGCAGTAAGAAGGAGCCAAGGAGTAGCAGTAAGAAGGAGCCAAGGAGTAGCAGTAGAAAGAGTCAGGAGTCCAGAGAAAAGGGAAGATAGTGCAGACGACAGAACATGGTTAGAGAGGAAGAAAGGAGAAGAAAGGAGAACATTTTTATTTAGAGAAAAAAATTGTCCGACCTATTAAATGAGAGGCGAACACTTTACCTCTAGACCTCGAGAGCCTCCATGTGTTTTCATATCCCTTATTTGTATACATTATATTATATATAGGTGTGTGTATGTATTTCTTCTACCTGTTCACATCATCCATTCTCACACATAGTCCCAAAAGAGAGAAGTTAATTAACGGAAATTACATAGCCGAGAAAGCAAAAATGTTTAGGGAAAGAAAACTGCATAAATTATTTTTAACAGGAATGCCTGCAATTATTATTATATATATTATATGTTTTCTTGCATTTAGCAACATTCAGTATATTATTTTCCTCAAAATGTTTATTCAGCATATGCAACTAATACCATAGACTAAGAACCAGCAAGTAGTCTCGGTAATGCTCACAACGTCAGATCATTTGAGAGATGAAGGTTCATTTCCCAAATAATGAGCGTAAACTCTACTACTACTACTACTATGGAAACTTTAGTAAAAACCAGCCACAGAGACCAGCCCTAGCATATATCCTATATCCCGAAAAGCTGACGCCTGGCCTGGAAAAATGCTAGTTGGTACCTATTTTATGCAGTCTTTTTAGATTTGACTCGGCTCGACCGCAGCTCGAACTGAACCCTCAAGGGGACGACCAGCGTTTCATCGCCCGGGGCGAGGCGGATGTCTGCACAAGGCCACGGCGCCGGTGTGTTGTCAGTGGTGGCAGCAACAGGAAAGTCGGTGGGGGGAGGGGGGGCAGAGGGATGTTGCTCACAACAAACAAAATTAACAAGTTTGTTGCCACACTCGACTCCATAGCAGAAAGCGAAAGATAGGTTCAGGAAACACAACTCCGTAAAACTAATCCAACATGTTGTTTTTAATGGTTGCTTCCCTTTGAAAAGATTAAATTTTATACATTGCACAAATTGAGGTTGCAGCGGTGACTGTGACATCAACCAAGTGAACAAACGAGGGCTGTCACGCTGGGGGGAGGGGTAGAAGAGAAGAAGGAGCAAACCACACCAGAGCACCCGCCAACCACCCACTTATAAACCGTGCAGATTAGGGCAAATATACATCATGGTATAACCCCTCCTCAACTGTAGCCAGGGAGTTTACAGTTTACAGTACATGTAGTTCTAAGCTCCTTGACTTGCCAACGAATGTTCTTTCCCCCAACATCACTTTTCACTGTTACCCCCTCAACCTCAGCGCTCCTTGTTTTCCCAATGCCCTTTTCTCTAAATCTGTTGGTAAATCTTTCTGTAATCCTGTCCTCTCGTGGATTTATAATTTTGTTTTGCAAGTGCCGTAACTACTTAAACTAGATCTAAACTTTTTTTTTCCTTTTTCCAAAAATAAACATAAACAAAGAGTGGACGGGGTAATAACTAATAATAACATTACTTTTATGTATAGTAATAATATTTTCACTTTTTGAAAACGTTGTTGTACAGGTATGATTTTAGTACTTGGGGAGGCGGAGTCCCGACATGACATTTATTGAGGCAGCCAGCCCTCCGGCTACATTTTCTCATTTAATTTTAATTGTTGTTGTTGGTGGTGGTGTGTGTCTTTGTGGGAGCGGAACCCAGTTGGGTTTTATATTTACAATTTATAGCTTTAAAAAATAAACAGCTCCATCTACCAACACCACCTAGGCTATAAT